TGTGTTAATTCAAAGGTGATTTAACAACGAAGACAACAATAAAATCTTGGACCACTCTTAGAATAAAATTTTGGTTAAATAAGTCATAAAGCCTATGTGTGTGTGCGTCATTAAGCCTCACATAAAAAAGGCCAATGAGAGCAAAATTTTTCCACTGGTTTATACTGAAAATGTGTTATCCTAAGAAAAAAAAAGAATCTACCATTTGCATAAAAAGTAATTTTATATATTTTTTTTCTTAAACAATTTTGTAATAAAATATTTGTAAAGCTCTTACGTATAAAAATACGTTGTAGTATTAAAAATCTGTTTGCTTTTCTCGAAGATTGCCAAAAAATCTTTAATGTGTTAACAGATTAAATATTGCTCCAATCTTAGTTTCTGGTGATGACATAAACGACATGATAGGTCCTAAGGTGTACTTAAATTTACTTGAGATTGACATCAAGTAGTGTCTGTATTAGCCGTTACACACAGCCGGGCAGCTACATGAGTAATATAATTACCATACATTACTCCCACCTGTGTAAGCCTTAATTGTCATTCATAAATCTCCTACTGATTCTGAGAAAGTATTTTAAGCTTTCCATTACGTCAATGTGGTACAGTATCATTGATTAATTTGCATTCGAAATATGTGATGAAGAAAATACATATTAAGATTGATATTTTAATAAAAACTGCACCTTATAATTTCCCTGTAACAGCTAACCTAGGTACTCGCAGAAATGTTAATTTAATAGATTAGTTGAAAATAAATCCAGGCAAATGGAAATTCGCTTAGTCAGCAGGTTTGTTGCAGCGGGGGCATTTTACCATATTTTACCAACCGTTAGATATAAAGAAACTAGTGGCCTGTGGGGCCATAGCCCCTAATTTAGACTACAATAAAAACCCATATATAAAAATACAAATATTCTAAATATGTTTTTAAAATTGTTAATTTTATGTTACTTAAAATTAACAGTGTTTCTTTTTTTATATCTTGGTTTTCCTTCCGTTGGAGTCGTATATTAGTTGCTTCTGATGTGTCAATGAAAAATACAATTGTAAAATAATTATTAAATCAATAACACAACATATTAACGAGCCCGGAGAACGACGAATCAGAGCTGAAATCATACAGCCAAACATTGCACATCTTTTCTAGTTTAAAATTGAAGATTCGTTTTGTAATCTTACGAATTCTGTTATAGTTTCCATTTTGAGAACCAAATGGTTAAAATTATTATTAATTATTAAGAAGGCAACTCCCCGTTTCGCGGTAGTAAGTCAGAAATAAATCTATGAATTTGTCCCTGAATATTCAGTATAGACAGAAAGGCCCATTTCCCGGAATCTCTTTTTGTGTAGCGGAAAGCGACGCAAAAGCCATTGCACTGTTGTATTGCCTTATGTTTTTATGAAGTTCGAATCGTGTAAAAACAGTTCTTTTAGTTCGTCATTTACTTGTGGTTGTGGAATGTCCATTGTGGCAACATGCGTTTAAATGTCCATTTGCGGCCTCCTCTGCAAAGTGAAATGCGCCACAATGCATGCAAGTGCTTTAAGAGGACTTAAATTGTGAGAAACAACACTCAACTCATTTTCCAGCGTTCTTCTAAAGACAGGTTGTAAAACAGCTTCTGGATTTCATTCACAGTTAGGTTCACAGTTAGTTCTACATGACGTTCTCGTTTGCATTTCTTAAGTCTGTTGAATTCCTGGATACTCTTCCACGTCTTACAGGTCTTCCCCTACCCTGTCTAGTTACTTCACTCATTATAAAAACGGAAAACAAAAATATTAAACACAATTCATTTTGAAACATTATTTACCAACATGGACTTTCGGAATAAATGTAAACATTGCAAATAAATAAGTCACAGCTGATAGAATGCAGAAGTTTATCAGTCCCCATGCATTTCTTATGGTGGATATTTTACGTTATATCTCGTTTTCTGGTAACTTTATGGGCATTCTGCTATTTTTCCCGAGTCCCTGGGGTCAAGACCTTTAATTTAAGACCTCTCCCACTTTTCTGCGACTTACCAGACGTCTACAATTTTCTGGTAAAAATTTGGTCTTACAGAATTATATATACTAGTGGTCGTCCTGTGGTCGAAACTCGACCAAAAATAATTAATGTACAGACTTCTCTATTTTCTCCCCACACTGTAAAAAAAACATGTGATTGGAATTTCTTCCATTTGTTTTGATTTTCTGTTTACATTTTGTTGTTATTTCGTCACCATCATGGCAACCAATATGGTCCATGTTAATTTTTTGAAGTTTTCAAAATCATTTTTTGTTCTTATTTGTTAGCCTATTTTAATTTTTAAAAGCATTCTGCACATCTACAGGAAAATATATTTCCAACAGTATGCGTAGATTTTCCCTGCGATGCACACGAGCTGAGAAAAAAGGTTTTAAAGAAACATGCTTGCCTATTAATATATAGATAGATAGATAGATAGATACTGTTGCAACAAAGGTTTAAGAAGACACAATTAGTCTATCTTAAACGATTATTGATGAAAGTTAAAATCAATATTAACAAAACTTAAATTTTCACTTCCCCTCTATATACTACAAAAAATATGGATAAGTATTCGAAAGCCACTTGTTTGGGCTCAGGGGGGCCTAAAACGAAAATATCCGACAAAAATCTAACTCGAAAATGTTGATGAAAACAATCGCCTACTTTTTGTTCCATGTAGGCATGGTATAAGGGTGAAGTAAAAATTTAAGATTTTTTTGTGTCTTCTTCAACATTAGTTTCCACAATATTATTCTGTATTTCCAAATGAAAATCGTAGTGTTGCTTTTTAATATGTTGTTACTGGGTGCTAGTATAGTAATAGATGCTACACATTTGCAAAGTTTTCCCATTTCGGATATTATTTCCAGGTAAGGGGTATTTTTACCTAATATGACTGCATTATATTGCCGAGCTGGAAAGTTTACTGCTGAAGTTTGAGATTTGCACTTTCCTTTATTTGTCTGATTATGATACACTTGCAAACAGGAACCACGACAATCACCAGCGAAGAAAAAGCAAATTAAACAAAAATCTCTTTCTCTAGACAGCAAATCATTACTTTTATAGATAACGTATTCTCACATCTGATTGGTATTTGATAAATGATGTAGCCTATAATGGCCCAAAACTGGATTTTGGACGTTTTATTATTTTATTTTCATCAACACTTGACCTTGGCCCTGAACTGGGATATAAGAGTCTACTATTCACCAACGATCGTGATCTAGTTTTCTTGGTAATAAAGGCTAGGGCCAATGGAACTTAATTAAACATTTTGGCTTGAAAAAAATTATAATAATGATTGTTCTTTGTGTAATTTAAATGAATACGATAATTGAAAGAGAAAATTAATATAGTTTACCATTATGTTTCAGTTTGTCCTATTCTAAGGAAATCAAGAAAACAATTTTTTTTGTGAAAACGTCCATAATAGTGTAGTCGTTAGATCAAAATTTCTGCATTACCTAAAAAAACTCTTATTAGTGTAAAATTTGGTACGTATATTGAATTTTACTTCCGGAATAACATACTTAAGTCCTCGGAAAAATAGCTTGTGCTATGGCCGCCATCTTGGAAAATGGCGTCCAAAAACCAGTTTTCCCCGATTACTCAAAAACTATTCATCCTATAAAAGAACATTAAAAGTAAAGAATGTTTGCCAATGTAAGAGCTACAAATTTTGTAAATTGACAATATTTCGGTATAATTTACCGTTTAGCCATAAAATGCAATATTTATAATATAAATTAGAAATTTCGTAAAAAACACATTAATTGCGATTTAAGAAAGTTTTAGAGTTCCCCTCTATTTTTTCTACCTAAGATATTAACTCAAGACCACGTCAGATCATTGTAGGGTAGAAAGTACTTAATTTTGACTGGGTAAAAACTTTTGGCCGCCATCTTGGATTAAAGAAATATTTTCAAATGTAAAGGTGGGGTTGTGATCCATAGTTTCAAACTAGATTTTTACGCTTAATACAATGCTGCAATCAGTTTTTCAAAATCTCAATCCGATAAAAAGTGATTAGGAATTTTATAAAATAATTTTCCTATATATTTTATTGGCCGAAAATTAATAATTCGTTAAAATAAAGCCAATTTGACCTTACAATAATCAGAGTCTTAACTTTTAAGCTCAGTTTTGTTTTCTGGAAAATTTAGGAGATTAGGGGCGAATTAAAAACATTGCATCATAAAGTATACATAAATTATTTTTGAGTATTCCTAATAGTTTTTTTTTTACGGATTCAGATTTTGAAAAACAGATTGCAGCATCGTATTCAGCGTAAAAACTGGTTTGAAACGATGGGTCACCAAACCACCTTTACATTTGAAAATAATTTTGTATCCAATATGGCGGATCCAAGTTGGTGGCTGAAATTGTCCAATGCAACAAAAAAAAAAGAAAATATGACCCGAAAATAGATTTCTTCTTTCTTTTCTGAGCGGTAGATTTCTTTCCAATTCTAGCAAATTATTGAGTCGAGGGGCATATTTTAACATTAGGTTTTAAACAAACTAGTTCAAAAATTATATTTTGTTTATTCGTTATAACTTTTCAACGGATCAATATTTTGAAAAAAAAACGGATTGCGGTATTGTACTCAACTATTGGATCAAACGATTTTGGAACATTTGAAGGCCATTCAGTTTAAAATTAAGTGCCAACTAAACAGACGGATATTTAACCATTGTTCTTTAACTGTAATTTTCAACCTGTGAATGTACGTAGCAATTTATAAATAAACACTTAAATAACCATTTCATATTTTATATTCAAATGCTAGTCTATGTTTTGGTAGTAGAGTCATTCTGACCAATTAGTAAAACCAGATATTGGTCGGTGCTCTAATTTCTCCTGAGTGCCACACACAATCACACAGACAGAAATTTAAATACGACTCGTTTCGGCTTTTTTCTAAGTTATGTAAATATATCTGATGGTTAATAATTGAAAATAGGTCAAATAAACAAATCATGGAAGTTTTATTTACAGTAGGTTTATCCTTAAGGTTTTTGGAGTGGATCGTTGCTCTCTTTTTCTGTACAATCTTCCCCAAGCTGCGGCCCCTGTTCCCAATCCTCCTCTAGGTAAGTTATGGAATGCACCTGAAAAGTAAAAATAAATTGATCTAACTGTTTTCGCTAAGTTTTAGCAAACAAAATTCAGAAAACAATGTCATATTTATTTTGTATTGAGTGTGACCCTTACCAATGCCTGTAATGATAGTACCCACCACGTTCTGTCATGCAAGGTCTGCAAAGTATAATTTACTTGAGATAAATAGGCGTTAACCTATTTGCTGGTAGTTGAAGCACTGTCATCAACGATCTGGGAAGGCAATACATCAATTTGCTTTCATTTATTATTTGTCAAGGATTGATTAATTTCTTAAGGGTCTTACATTGTTAATTCAAAGAGTATCTTGTGTAATGGGTTTAATGGATTTTTACATAACTATTTTCATGTTATCACAAATATGTATCTGATTAGTAATAAGGTCAATGTTGTTAACATTTATGGAACAATCTATTTTCCTTACATCCTCGACCTAAAATTTTTTGAGGATGTATTATTACTTTTCCGAATTATTCAGTAGATAAAAATATTAATCAATCAATCTTTGGATCAATAACTCAATATGTTCAATATTCATTCTAGGCTGGCTTTAGTGAGGCTAATTACGCTTGTTTAATGAAGTGTAACATTTGTCAACATAGGTGCGTAACGAACCTACCTACTCCACCAGATTCCAAGGCGCAACTAACCTCTCCATTTATGGCCCTATGGTTATTAGAGGCGCAACTAACCTAAAACCTGTGAAACTTACCCTCATAATCAGCTCCAATGATCGTGGCGGTTCAAGTATCTTGGGTAGGTCATAAAACTCGTGGTGGTTCAATAATTAGCGCATAAATTGACGTCGAGCTTTTTCCAACAATTATTGAATTATTAATATCGGTTAAAAATCATACGTAGTTTAATATTCAGCTGTGGGGCACGAGCTGGTCTAGTGGTTAGAGCGTATGGGATTCTGGTTCCTGGGGCCCCGGGTTCAAATCCCGCCAAATCACCAATGGATTTTATCTAAGTGATAATGCCGCAACCTCTAGGTCTAGCCTGAAGTAATGTGAAAAACGATGCCGGGCTCGTGCCTAGCGTTCAAGGACAAAAAAATATTCAGTTGTAGAAGAACCACAATTGAATACTATCCTATGAATAACTAGACATCATTTCCAACTGACTCTTCACTCTGGGCTCACTCACACTAAGCTTAGAACATTGACTTTAGACGTCTACTAGATTGAATATGAAATGCATTTATTGGTTAACCAGGTAGCGGAGCAGTACAGGTGTAGCCGATGTTTAAAAGTTAAGTGTTCAATACTTACTTTTCTATCATATTCCAGGTACACCACAGGATATTTCATTGGCTCCTCTTTTCCTTTGCATATTTTCTGAAAAAACTCGGTGTCACCTTTGAGAACAGATTCCTTTTGTACTTTGAGGAAGACTAATTCTATGTATTGTGAACCGGTAAATACATGCCAAAAACTCTGAAAAATATAAAAGAACATAGGAAAGTTATTCAATAGATATGCAATGGCATTAGCAACTAGATTTACAAACATTTTAACTATAGGTAATTCTGAATATCCAGATGGATAGAATCGCTGCAGTACCAATCGCTTGGATTAGACTTTGAATGGACTTTAGATTGGTGGAAGAAGGCTTAGAAGAAGTAATTGTATTGAAACGAGAGTCCAGATAGAGGATTAGGGCAACCATCACTTGAGCGTGTAGAGTCAAGTAGAAAGTGTTGTTTGAACCAGCATGATCGGGCTATGGGAACGGGGTTTTATGGGGTAAAAATTGTTTTTTCTAATTTCTTACCCTAGAAAAAATCCCAATTTCTCCCTAGGTAAGTTTAAAGAGCTTAAAATACAAATAATTTAGTATACTTGAGTTTTTTGTAAGGTTACTAGTTACGGAGAAAATTAAAAAATCTTCATTTTAAAATTACGATGTTATTCTTATGGAGGATATTGTATATTGTTGTAGTTTGCTTGTTTATGGACATATTTTGATCAAACTTGGCATATTTTGTTATTTTATACTAGGCTATTAATATTTTACCAAAAATACACTTTGTTAGCATCCCTGTAGCAGCTAAACCTAATTAACCTTATGTTATTTAAATAGATTAAACTGAAAATCAAATCAGGAAATTGGAAATTCGCTTAAACTGCTGGTTTCCTGTCGAAGGGGTATTTTAAAAAATCACTTTTTTCCGTACAGGCTTACAAATCATCAGGATAGTTGATGATACTAGAGGGAATTTGCTGGAATATGATTGTAATGATGACGACTTAAACTGCAATTAGAACTAAGCGTCAACATCCTAATTGAATGCTAACTTTTTCTGTTCAATATAGTCCTTATGTTGTGTGGTAAAAAGTTAAAAGTTACATCTATTTGAGCGTCGGGTTCGGGAGAGAGGAGGTAGAAAGAATTGTAGTTTGTTTGATTTTTATTAAATATCTCCTTTTCAAAATCTTCTAACTTAACCGTTTTAGAGTTACAACAGGTCAAATGTACTTTTTTGAACATTTTTAACGCTTTGAAATGCATTACTTTATAACTTTGGAAAATGGTTTACGTATAGAGGTTAATTTCTGTGTGGTTTAACCGCAAATTTGATAGTTTCTTGTGAATGTTAATGATAAGCCCCAAAAGCAAAACAACCTCGCCATGTCTCACCCTCTTCTTAATGGGTGAATTTTTTTATGAAAAAGAAGTGTCTAAAAGCCTTTTGCCACAGTCAGAAGATAGCTTTAATTTTGTATGTTGGGGTTAGGATTTTTTTCTGATTGCACCGTACTATTAAGCACATCCGCAGAAGAGTGGCGATATTACTAACAGCTGGTAAAATTATTCCAGCCGTTCTATTTACCCAAAAATTGGGGTGTGTATATATATATATATGTATTAGCTTGTACATAAGTACAGTAGATTAATGTTTGCAGGGGGTACACCCCAACCATTTTTTATTTCAAATATAATCATCCAGTTCACTGGTATCTCCTCTGCATAGAATAAATTAAATTCCAAGCATTTAACTTATTTTAGTAATGTAAATAAGCCAAGTGTACCAAGTGCATTTGTACCCCATTCCCAATGTGAGACATAAAAATTACATCGATGCTCGGTGGAGGTGACAGTTCCAGGGACCCGTTTCAATGACTAGAGAAAATACTCTAGGAGTAGCACTTTGACTTGAAATTATATGTTTATCTTTATTTAATTTTATTGCATATTTTAACATTACAGATTTATTTGTATTTCCGCACTTAAATTTTTATGGCTTGTAATAAACATGTTTTTTTGTAAATTCTAAAATCTGGTTATTTGTGATATGTATTGTTTTAACTATTAAACCCAGTTAACGATACTAAAAATTTAATTTTCTACCCATTTTTTTTATTTACTCAAACCACAACGCTACACACAACTGCTTCACCCAAATAATTATTATACGTTATTCTCAATAATTAGAGTATTCAAAACTGAGTAAATTACAATTGTAATAGCTTTCCATACGATCTATCAAACATAACAAAGCTATTTACTGTGCTTTCAGATTATTTTTCCTTTGTCCCGTATCATTTTCTGTTCCTATTATCAGGGTGAAATCAGTAACAATTTTAATCACAAACACTGTATTTGTTAAAGGTCGTTAAAGAAGTTAAACTGGTTCAAGTGTTTAATCAATGTTATAAGTACTCACCACATATTCCCTCAGAGGACCCCACTGAAATTGCTGATACTCCACAACCTGGTCATCTTCAGTCAGACCCATCAGAAATTGCCGATACTCCCCAATCCGGACATCATCATCCTTTTCGTAGTATATTGTAAATATATATTTGCCGCTGTATGTGTCATGTCTCTTCTCCAAATCCTCCTACAATACCCAAGAGTTTAGACAACAGTTGAATTAATTGTGGTTAAGCCATATCTTCAGATGTCGTACTCCAGGTTCACTGTCATTATATGTACTCTCTTTTAGAGTCACCTAACACCATGTTTCTATACATTATACAGTTTGTGTAGGTATTCTAGGCCGAACTATTAATAAAATCTCATAAAAAATAAGTGCATTCTTACATTTCCTGCCTAGGGTTACATTTTGCAAAAAAACATTAGAAGGACAAACATTTATCTTGCCTAAGTATATTATCTCTTTTATATAGTTGGTATTCCTTGTGGTTCAATTCATTAAAAGAGCAAATTTAGATACAGTACAAAAAGTATCCCCTTCCTTCCACCCAACATGTTATTTATGCTGTACATGTGCAATGTTTTACAATGGAAAACCTCAAATGATACCTATAGAGGTAAAAAAATTGAATCAATGCCATTAATCGTTTTAAGTTTACTTTCATCTTCGCTTGCCTACTAAAAACAACCAGTTTACAAGCTGAGAAAATTGCTAAATACTCACCTTATTAACAACATCGAAAATTTGTATCTGTAAACAAGTTTCAAACATTACTTGACTTAAATAATTATAAAACAAAACCTATATAAGTAAACCCTTAAAATATTGGTTCAAATTTGTTTACAGTACCTTAGTAATATTTTGTTTTTGTCATGAGATACCAGCACCCTCATAAATTTCTATATTATAGGTTGCAATTTCTCTAAAGTTAGATTTAAAGACAAATATAAATGTAGGAAGTCTATGTTTGGTCGTAATGTGCTTTCTCTGTGTTAACAACATAATATAGGTACAATAGTAAATCCTCAACCCAAACCCCACTAAACAGATCTTGTTTTTGCAGATCGTCATTTGACAAATTACGTTTTATAACACTTTTACACCAATAAGTCAATAGGCAAGAACCGATAAACTTTATTTATGTGTTCGTGGAAAACATTACAAAGTCGTCACATAGAATGTACAGGCTATTTGGGTAACATGCTGTTACATGTTATAACGGCACAGCCACACCTACACAAGCACAAATTAAAGCTGCAGTTACGAAAATGAAAATAGAAAAGCACCTGGTGCTAAGCAAATCCAGACCTAACAATGTCGATCTTCTATCCTCTGCTAAAAGCACCTGGTGCTGATAACATTTCTCCTGAAATGCTCAAAGTAAATCCAGACCTAACAATGTAGATCTTCTACCCTCTGCTAAAAGCACCTGGTGCTGATCAAATTTCTCCTGAAATAATCAAAGCAAATCCAGGCCTAACAATGTCGATCTTCTATCCTCTGCTAAAAGCACCTGGTGCTGATAACATTTCTCCTGAAATGCTCAAAGTAAATCCAGACCTAACAATGTCGATCTTCTATCCTCTGCTAAAAGCACCTGGTGCTGATAACATTTCCCCTGAAGTGCTCAAAGCAAATCCAGACCTAACAATGTAGATCTTCTACCCTCTGCTAAAAGAGATATGGGTAAAGGAACGAATACCTGACTACTGGAAAAAAACCTGCTGATTAAGATCCCAAATAAAGGAGATACCTCAATTTGCAATAAATGGAGGGGTATTACATTGCTCTCATAATTATTGAGCAGAGCTCAGAATACCAGTCGCCAGTGTGAGTGGCGACTTCCATCTGGCCTTTGTGGATTTTGAGAAGGCTTTTGATTCAATTAGTAGGAGATGAATTTGGAAAGCTCTAGTAAAGTTCGGCGTCACTCCAAAGATAATAAACATCATAAAAGAAATATATAAAGAAAACAGGTGCCAAATTATCGACGAAGGAAAATTCGGACCATTCCCAAATCAGTTCAGGAGTCAAACAGGGCTGCTTGCTCTCACCAATAATATTGTTGATGGTCCTATATGAAGTGATGAGGGAGTTGAATAGGCGACCCAGAGGCTTGAAGTGGGTATTGATGGATTGGCTGGAGGATATAGATTTCGCAGACGATTTGTGCATGATGTCTCATATACTGGGAAACTTGTCGGAAAAGTTGGAGGAACTGTATGTCAGGGACAACATGTGGGTTTGAAAATAAAACTTCGAAAAGAATAAGGAAATGAGACTAAATTCAAGAAATGATCAGCAGCTGAAAGAATGAATAGAACAGGTAGACCAGTTCCAGTACTTGGGTAGCATTGTGTCACCAACGAGCACATAATAATAATATAAAGTCACAGACTGGAGGAACTGACGAGGGAGGAGGTAAACTACCCCCCTTGGCTGGCGCGCCAGTGAGGCCGTGGTGCGAAATGATTGCCTTGACTGTTGACTGTACTCTTCCTTACCTGGCCTAATCTCAACTTGCTTTGTGAAACCTAATTATGAATCCCTACCATAGCAATTATGTGATACGTTTTCATGTTTTCTGAGGTCAACTACTAGGTTTGAGGGTTAGGTTAGGTTATGAATACCAATATTTGTATTGGATCTTCAAACAAACTAACGCACTATATTATGTTATTTCCGTAGTACAGTACAACCAAACTTTAAGCGGTGTTTAATTTTTCATGAGATTTGATTTATTTTTTAAAGATAATTTGTGGCATAGTGTTTTGATAACTGAGTGGGTTGCTGCCATTTATTTAAAATATGTTACCTCAAATGATTACGCGCTAGTGCAGTACGTGGCCGCTTGGTGAACTAATGACCCCGCGCGGGACATTTGAAATCGTATGAAACACTCGTTTTCTGAGTTCGTAATATTTTTACTATTGCAGTATAACCTGATTGTTTATTTGTACATTTAATTTAATAGTTTAGTGGATTTTTTATTCATGTGGATGACATTTTATAGTATAGTATAATGAGATTTTTCATTTACATATTTATACCAATAGTTGTGTTCATAATTGATTTTAAAAAAATTAAATGGTATAGTGTGATTGTTTTTTACAAATTTGAACCAATAGTTGTGCACATTCAGTGTTTTTGTAAATTAAATTTTGTTGTATAGTATAATACAATGTGACTCTTTATTTACATATTTATATCAATTGATAGTGATATAAATAACATTTTGTTGTATAGTATAATGTGATGTTTTATTCATTTTTATACAAACAGTTATAAAGTTAGTTATATTCTCTTGTAAATAACATTCTGTACATGCATTATGCTTTACCTAAGGAACATCACTATTTATTTGTTTCACTCTATTTTTTCAATTCAACTGTTCATTATACATTCTTATCTTAATTGTTTTTGTTTATAAAGTAAAGATGTAAATATTCAGGTATTTAAATATTCATTTCCTAGTTGCTTATTAATTCTTGTAAATATTAATCCAATGATAATATTTTTCTTTGTATATTTAACTAGCTGTACCCGCGGGCTTTGCCCCGTTTTACTTCATAAGTGAGCTCGTTCGCATGGCTCAATCACGTCCTTGTTGAAGTTCGTTCTCTACGCTCACTCACCTTTAGGTTGGAGCTCGTTCGCTGCGTTCACTTGCCTTCAGGTTAGCTCGTTCGCTACGCTAACTCGCCTCCAGGTTGAAGTTCGTTCGCTACGCTCACTCACCTTTTGGTTGCAAATTAGCTGTTGTCATATATTAAAAAAAATTAATAGTGCTGCACCCTGTTGTTAATCCTTGTAACTTTAATGCTATTGAACATCATAGAACAGAACCAACTTGTTTAATTGAAACAGCTGTTGATTCATTAATTCCATTTAAATATGAAATATCGTAAGGTTAACATGGGAAACTCCAGAGCCACTGGGGCGGAGCCCGAGAGTCCGATCAGAATAAAAACAACTTAGTTTTCCTATTTAATGCCTAAAGAATCAGTGTACCAAATTTCAGCCTCCTAAGTAAATGGGAATTGGGAGAATTAGTGATGAGTGTGTGTCAGTCAGTCAGTGAGGGCTTTGCCTTATATATATATAGATAAATGCGGTATGTACGTATACATTTGTAAAATATTTTTGCATTTCTTTCAATAACAAAGTTATTTTATACATTCATTTCCCATTGTTACTTTTATTCAGTCTAACTAAAAATCCCATTATGTGTTTCACTAACACGCAATAAACACCCTAAAATTTCCTTTTATTAAACTTCTACACTTATATTAAAGTTAATATAATTTGGAAAAAATTATGTAGTATGTTGATGATGATTAGGATAAAGAACGTGATTAATTGGGAAGTGTAGGCAAGTCATAGATAAGCTCGAAAATCATTTTGATAATTTGCATTAGAATCGCCGGAAGTTAGGAACATTTATGTAGGCTAAGATAACAAAATATAATTTTATTTAATCACGTTTTATATAAGTTGGCAAGTAATTAAATAAAGCTGGAACGCTGTTAAAGATAACAGTGTTTGAAAGCTGCTATTTTGATTAGGTTTAGGGACTGATACATAGAACATCTTCGAAGGTCAATGTCCGATGTCCTATATAGTACGGTGGTGTTTTCCAATATCACAACGCTTAGCTGGTACAACCTGATACAATGTTAATATTGGATATTAATGTGTATTTTAGTGGGGTCCCTGTGGTTGATGACTGCTGCAATTCTTTACTGGGTTGAGATAGAGACCTCTGGTTTTCGCCGATGGTATTTATAACTGGTAGCCCTTAAAAATGAGGTTTCACTTGATGGGGCTTTACATTTAAAATCTTTGAAATGCCTCCAAAGTACCCCATTTTGTGGTCCTAGGAAAAATTGTGATAGCAACAAAAAAGTAGGTTTTAGTTTCGTGTTATGGTAATACTGAGATTAGTGTTTCTGGTACAACAAATAAAGACTTTAATATGGGATATTTTATGTATATTTTTACAACTGGTGTCTCAGGCTGATGAAAAATAAAAACGACCACCATTCTGTAATTCTGGTTTGACATAGAGACCTGTAGTTTTCACCAATATTTTTTATTAACTAATGGCCTTTAAAATGAGGTATCACTTGATTTTTTGGGTTGCCCCCAAAATATTGGAGTTTCTGACAAAATTGGGATACCAAAAAAATGCCTTTTTGTGATATAGAGGTGTGTAGAGTTTGGATTTCCTTGTGTAACCCAATAAAAAGATCTATTTAATATTCAATATGTAAATATTAAATATTCATTGGTTTTTTATCAGCCAAAAATGATTATAATAATTACTTTTATCAATTATATAATGGTCTTGGCCGTTGGAATGAAAATTAAATAAAATAAAAAACCTTTTGCTGAAGGCCATCGTTTTTTCTAGTTATTTACGAAAAACCTTAAAGGGAACCTTTAGGGCCATCTACCCCCCTTAGCTCCAACCCCACCGGTCAGTATTTGTAGTATGTTGTTTAAGGACCATTCCCCTACAACTGTAAATGATTAAATGGGGCTTATACACGATTTTCCCCTGGTTTGTCTTTGTTTTCTGGACCACAAAGATCTAAGGAATGGTAAGTGGTACACATATTTACAAATCCGATTTATCACGGTTTCGAGTATATTGTATGCATCAACTCTAACAAAGTATTAAATAAAGTTATGGTAGTAAATAAACCTGGCTTACCTTATTTTCCATTTCAAAATAAAGATAGGCTCCATTTTTAGCAAAGATTTCTTGAGTCATGGGATCCATCATTTTAATGTATTCATTGTGAACAACGTAGTTCAGTAAAGCCAACACAATGCCGTTGCGTACATTGTGTCTGGCAAACTCGGCCGCAGCCTTCATCTGTAAGAAAAACTGATAAGTGTCATTTTAAGATTAACGTGAAACTATAGTTAAGATAATTATCCCCGTGCGGAACGGGGTTAGAATAGGACCGCAGCCTTCTCGGGCTTGCCGTAAGTGGCGACTAAAAGAAAGACCGACGCTCTCACTGGGAGTCCCTGGGAGTGCCCCTGTTGTGTTGAAGGGGTTTATGTGTGCTCTGCACTGCCGATGGGTATTCTCAGTGGGTCGTGAGAAGCCAGCCACTTCGGTCCTTGGTCAGGGAGTGCGGCATGGATGTAGAGGCCGGGCTCTGCATTGCGACGGGTGACCCCCGGCACGTTAGGTATCCGTTGCTGGGCAAACGGAGGCCGGGCTCCGGGGAACTGGGGTAAGGGGTAAGGGGTTTTGTCCCCGCTGGTATATCCGTTCCTGACTGATTCTGGGTCACTCCTTGCCACACGATGCGCTGGAATAAACACGATGTATTTTAATAAAACCCCGCAAAACACATTTTTTATTAGGAGCTAAAATGAGCAAGAAAAGACGTTGGAAGTGGAGCGGAGCTCTTTTATTTCTAGCTCCAATGTTCAGAGGATGCCAACCGAAAAACGTGAGGACATCTCCGCCCCCCTGCACCTTTCAAATGTATTAAGGAGTTCCCCCATTTAGGATCTCCTTCAGCAAATGGAGCTGGGAACGGTGCAGAAAACGTTGGGGTGTAGATTACGAACTGGCGTTTCCAGCAACTCTCCTGCCGATCGGTTCTGCTCTAGGGATGTCGGAGGAACCTTTCACAGCTCAACGTTGTGGTCGGAAGGCTCTGAGATGGTGATTCTGCGTCAGGAATATCTTGACGCAGAGAGTAGCATCGAAACCCGGCTCCAAGACATGGAAGAGACGATTAAGGCTATGCTGGACATCTTCCAGACCCAGAAAGCTGTAAATCAAGTGGTCAAAAACGGCATGACCAAACTAGACGACCTAGAGTGACCTTGGCTTCGTTTTTGCCTGCCGGCTGGTGATCAAGGTGGCCATGGAAAAAATTGCTGAGAAGGTGGTGTCCCTGCCCGATGAGAGAGTGCTGCCTTCTAAGAAACGGTTGAGGCCTTCCACATCGGAGAGTCCTCAAAAAAGAGAAGAAGACGTCCAGACCAAAAGGACCACGGAAAAAGGCCAAGGCGACTCAGACGGACCTATCGTCTGCTGTGCCCAGATCCTTTTCAGATGTACCTGCAGTTCCAGTAAAGCACCGACAGCTACAGCAACCTACGACCCCCCTTCAGGGAAGTTCCCGAAAGGGGTTAGTTGTCCCTGGGGCTACGTGGGAAAACGCCGTTTCCAAAAGGAGTGCAAGAGTCAATTGAGGCAGGTGGAGGTCGCCTCTATGAAGAATGTGACAGTGAAGGCCCGGCTCGGTCCCTGCTCTGAAAAAGCCCAGGAAGGAAGCAATCCTGGTCAAACCCTCAGGGAGGAGATCTTTCGCCAAGGTATTGGGTGAAATTAAGGGGAGGTGGTAAACTGCTCCCCCGTGATTGGCACGCCAGCGAGCGCGTGGTGCAAAATTTTGTCTTGACTGTACTCTTTCTAACCTCACCTAATCACGGTCAGGCACTAAGGACGGGTACTCAGCTTGTCTATCTATATTATTAATACGCTACATGAAACTTTGTGAACAATAAGGCTTTTTTGTTTCAAGATTTTACTTCACATATTAGACTTTTATCTGGGCAAAATTAATAACAAAGCAAAAACAACTGGAATGTGTTTGGCATGCATCCCTTAACATTTTGTGAAAATTCCCAACTTTTCCCACCGTAGCAAGATCCGCCATCTTGGAAAATGGAGGACAATCTATAAAACACTGCAAGGTTCCACTTAAAAACTTATTGTTCCCAAACCACTCCATCTAGAAAAGTCTAATTAGTCGTAGATTCTTCGCCATAATGTTATCTACAATAAAATACCATATTAGATAATAGCAATTAACAAATTTAGTTATGGAAAAAGAGTAATTAATTGGATGGAATACAATCCTGATTTGTTGGTTGCCGATCCCAAATATATGAGTGGATTTAAGTATATAGATAATAGACCATATATACTAGAAAACTGCGTATTAAAAAGAAAAGTAGGTAATCTATTGGTTGGCGCTTATAATATTTTTTTTTTAGTTTATGTAACTACTGATGTTAAAGAAATGAATAAAACTGCATACGAACTTCATAAGCCTGCAAGAAAGAATTTTGTTAGAAGGTTTGTAAAGTATTGGGTATAAACGAAACCGTACAAATAGATTTAATTGATAAGGAAAACTATGTAAAATTTAAGAGAGAATTCTGGCAATAAATATATTTTAACTTTAATAGATACATTTTCTAAAAAGGCTTATGCTGCTCCACTAAAGAAAAAGACAGGGTTGGTGGTTACAGACCATTCTACCAAAGAGGTCTAAAAACATTCAATCTGATAACGGAAAAGATTTTTTTATGAACTAAAATAGTTAAAGTAAATAAAAGAAACGTCTTATAACGCTTAAAACATATACTTACGCTTTTACTGTTACTCACAAGACGGTAAATATACAAAATACCCGTGCCGCAGCAGACCTGCAGACTAAGCGAATTCCCATTTGCCTGATTGAATTTACTCTAAAATATGTCCTTAAAAATATCACATTTATTCCCTTTTTAAATATCATTAGTTAAACAAGTACTTAGGTTTGCTGTAACAAGGAGGATAAAAACGTGTTTTTTTGTAAAATGTTAATGTTGCTTTTGTTTTGTAGTATGAAATAAATTAATTTTCCAAACTTGATCAAAATATGTTCATAATAAAGCAAACTACAACAGTTTACCTATTCTCCATAAGTATGACATGGGAATTTTTTATTTACAATTTTTAGAATTTTCTCCGTAACTACTGGGTGCATAATAACGCTTCAATGTACAAAGATTTTTTTTTTTGAGCTCTACAAAATGGTTTATAAAGAAATTGCAAAATGTTATGTTTTTAGGGTCATAAATGGGAGAAACCAATTATTACCCCATTATACCACCCAAAAACCCCCGTTCCCATAGTACGAACGGCTCGCGAACTCGTCCGAATAAATGTAGGTTCACACATTTACACAAAATTTCATCAAAATTGGATCATTTTTTCTCGAGTTATCGTGCTAACGGACACACAGACATATACGTGCTCTCTCAACAAACAGATATATTTTAAAAAAAGCACAGGTTTAATCTGCATAACACTGATAAAATCGCAAAAGTGTGTACCACAAAAGATCCACCAAATACGATTTTAAAACTATTCAAAGATTCTACCAAAAGCATCTATATTTTTTATTCATCAAAAAGAAGATAAGCCAGTCAACATAGGAACAATAACTACTCCTATTACGGACGGTATAAGAAATATGTTATTTATTGAATGGTCAACCATATTTTTTAACTAACGCAATAGTCATTATTGTACTACACTTATTTATTACTCATTAAACATGTTAAAATGCTAAATTTTTTTTTATAATTTCACTCTTTTTGTCGCAGTTAAAAGAATTGTCTTAAGCCTTTAAACACAGAAAACATACTAGGCCCACTAAAACATACGGCTAATGGTAATAGTAGTATGTTTTCTGTGCTTTAAAGCAACCGTCGATTTCGACGGGTTTCACCTAGTATTTATTAAGAAATAAAGTACAACTGAGGACCCTGAATATTATATTTTTCTGACATAAGTCCATTTTCCAACTTCAAATAACATTAAATACGTACTTAAAATGTCACTTCTATTAGAAATATAATATTCAGGGTGCTTAGATGTACTCTATTTATTGCAATAATTTAATATATCAGCAGCCCTATTACGAGAACACCTAAATTAATATATATATATATACAGGGTGTTTCAGAATTAGTGTCGGATATTTTAGGGTATTATTCCTGGGTAAGATACATATCCAAATATCATATTTAAACAGTCCGGAAGTCTTTATTTACTCAAACAGCCGCCATTTTGTTTTTTCCTTTAATATTTTTTTTTAAGAGAATGGTACAACATACAGAATTGAAACTTTGCACAAACATTTCTGACTACTAGGCAAAGCTACAAAAAGATGATGAACATTTTCCAAATACATAAAATAAAATGGCGGCCATTTAAAATTTTGTTTCTTAAATAACTCAAAAACCGTTGTTTTATGAAAATTTTACAAGAATAACTTTTTTCAGGTAATTTTATTACAAATCGATTGACACCTTAATCTTTACAATTAAACGTATATTAACTGAGATATGGCAGTTTTAGTGATACGTGACCACTGGAGGTTAGTTGTAGTGCATGCGGCGGGCTAAAGTCTGCCACAACAATATGCATGGCGCCGCATGCATATCAGATCAGATCTTGGTATCGTTTGATAGGAAATTAACAATTCTAAAAAAAAGTATTCTTGACATTTTTTCATAGAATTAGCCGTTTTAGAGTTATTTAAGTTAGAAAAATTCAAACGGCCGCCATTTTAAAATTTACCATCGGAACAACTTTATTATTTTTTCTATTATAGGTCTTGTGTATGGTAACATGTTTACCAAGCTTCATAATCATCGAATAAAAAACTTCACAGATAAAAATATTTTTGTATAAAAAACAAAATGGCGGATATCTGGGTAAATATGGATTTTCGGACATACCTTCCCATTAACTTTTTTGTTCCTTTTAGTGAGTAGAACCCACTGGCGAAGTTAACACGGTCAGTAGAAACTCACCCTGTATATATATGAATTTGAACGGATGGAGTTTTGGCCTCTGGGGACCTCAAAACGAAAAAGTAAATCGGTCCCGGGACAAGGTCTTACCATGAGTACTACGCTAATAGTTTATTCCCTATATGGGAAATTCGCTAAAAGAGTGTAAGTGGTGATCGATTTCGATTGGACACTCCAATCATCATCAGACCCAATAGCCGAATGACTAACTAAAAAATTAACTAAAATGCCCATAAAAAAATTCTTGAAACTATTAGACATGCAAACTAATTAAATATTAACAAATTAAATTTTAATCACTATCACACCTTTTCTACAACTAAGGCTGTATTGTGGAAAGGTTCCAGAGAACTTAAAAGAGTTGGTTATATAGGGAATTTAGTGCTCAGGGTAGTTAGTTATAAATGGCTGGATTTAATTCCAAAGTTTGGCTAGATTTACTTCTAAAGTTAATTATAAAATAAAATAATAAGGTGCATAGGTATATAGGAATGAAGCCTAACCAAGTGAGTGTTAAGAATAGTATATGTGCATGAGAGTTGACTTCTAAAGTGCAGGATAAAAATCCAAGATATAAGGTGGGTGATAGAGTAAGGATTTCCAAGTATAAACAAGTATAAATACTGAGGAGTTGTTAAAGACCAAGTATAAAGAAATGCATTTAGTAGAGAAGGTGATTAGGAGGAAATGAGATTTGTTGTACGTCAAATGACATGGGTTCCCAAGTAGCCCCCAAGAAATTGGATTCCCAAGAACTCATGGATTTCCACAAAGGATGTTGCCACTGGAGAAAAGAAGCAAGCCTATGGGAGCGGAATTTCAAAGACTCCCATCGCTAGCTTGTAGGATAAACGATAAAAGGTTCACATTGATTTTTTTCTAAACATGTCACGGCTGGTGACGAGAAATATGGGTCGGGAGTGCGACCGAGTTCTGGTGCAAATATCGGGAGGCGAAAATATATCAGAAGTTGCATGAACAGTAACAGGAAAAGTAAACTATAAACAGTATACATGGTGGGGTACTGTGAGACAATTTAGGGTTGCTCGTTCTCCTGCAGTGAATTGCGTGTTTACACTACTCATGAAATTGACCCTAAAATAATAGAAACAAAATTATCGATCGGCACGTGCGATCAGTGTCGCCAGACATAAACTAGACACAAAAACGAGCTTCAAAAATTACAATGGGACGAGAACCTGTGAATTTGTGAGATCTTACTTGTATTGGTTAGTCTATGATGTAACCTACTCTTTATAAATAGCATTGATATTGTTGTTCATTTTCAAAGTTCTTATTTAGGTGTGTCCACCCTTTGTATTATCTTTTATTTTTCTAAATTTATCTTTGTCAGTATTACATGTTTAGTTACACCTTAGTAGTCTTATGTCTCTTTCGTCCTTTTACCTCTCTAGAACAGCCAAATGAGCGACATTTTACTCGTATTTTAAGAGAGACTCTCTTAAATATATTTCATGTGACTCTCTGGGATTCATACACTATATTTGTATGCATCTGAACGGATGGTATTTTTGGGTATAGGGGACATGCAAATATAACAGTAAATCGGTCCCGACATGATAATAAGACCAACCTCGCCTAAAAACATGTCTTTCAAAAATAGAAGACCAATTCGTATATACAGGGTGGCGCAGATGGATCGGGTGGTTTTAAAATACTTGTCAAATTGTCAATTTTAAAGGTATTGGATTGAAATAAAGTGCAAAACGTGTAGTAACAATGGAAGTTTATTGACAAAAAAAATTTTAAGTTAGTTTTTAAAAATTACATCCATCAAACGCCTTCCTTCTCGAGCGACGCATTCTTGGAGTCGGCCCTTGAGGTTCCGCATTGCTCGCTCAAGAACATCACCAGGAATTAATGTGATTTCGTTGTAAATTGCAGCCTTCAACTCCTGAATGGTCCGGGGTTTGTTCATGTAGACCCTTGCTTCAGGAGTTGAAGGCTGCAATTCACAACGAAATCACATCAATTCCATGTGATGTGCTTGAGCGAGCAATGTGGAACCTCAAGCCTCAAGGACCGACTCCAAGAATGCGTCGCTCGAGAAGGAAGGCATTTGATGGATGTAATTTTTGTAAACTAACTTAACAAATTTTTTGTCAATAAACTTCCATTGTAACTACACGTTTTGCACTTTATTTCAATCCAATACCTTAAAATTGACAGTTTGACAAGTATTTTAAAACCACCCGATCCATCTGCGCCACCCTGTACCAAGGCAAAAATATGGTTCGGATTCCACTTTAAACTGTAGGTCGCATATTAGTTGTCATTAGCAGTTTGGGCCTTTAATTAACAGCTGTGTTTAAAGGAATATGTCGGCCTTAGTCACTAACAAGGCTACAATATCACGCCACTTATCCTAAACTCATCTCAATTCATACTTGGCTTTAAATACCAATTTGTATGGTCGCCATTTCATTGAAAAGTATTAAAGAATTAAACCTACAGTAATAGATTATTCTATCAATGGGAAATTACCCAAAGGTAACTAACCTGAGTCATAATTTAAGAATGAAAATACTGTTCTTACCCTGTTAAAATAAGTTTTTTTGTCTGTGGGATACGCATAAGGGCTGTATTTATAGATAAGAAGGACAATCTGTTTGCCCTTGTAGATTTCGTGCCGATTGTGAAACTGTATCTGTAACACAATTGTTAAACATACTCATTAGAATAAGCATACAAATTTTGTTGTTTTGAGAGATGGTTATATTACGGGTTGTCAGAGGAAACGGATGATTTAAGTTTACAATAATGATTCACTAGATAGTGCAGTTATTCTGGAACAGCCTGCATTCCAAAAATGTTTAATTTCACCAGACCCCAACCGTTTGTTTGGGAGCTCATAAGCGTAATATATTCCAACTGACAAACCACAGTATGAGTAAGAAGCCTTTATGTCCTGTGTCATTGACTGTCAAAGGTGTACGTTCCTTTTTAAACAACCATTTACTTTGCCATGAAACAGCTGTATGCATAATCCATTATAAAGAAGAGTTGGTGTCTGTCCGTGTGTCAATGTGTTTGTATGAGCTAAACTAAAAACGACTGAACCTACTAGGTTCAAATTGGATAAAAATAAAGCTACAACTCCGAGGATACATATAAAGTATAATCGCTTCGATATTGACCTAGGACTCCACCCCGCAGGCTTTCAAAGTTCTGTGGTGAGAGTTTTAAAAGTAAAGATTAATTCGTCTCCATGGTAACAATGAACAATCCCACAAAGGTTTAAATGTACACAAGCAGAAGTGTCAAACAAATTTTGATTTAACAGTTCCACACAGCTGGTTCAAACATATTAAATACTGCACGAATATTAGAACAGAGAAGGTAAGGATTATAAATTTAAAATAATGATGTCACTAGCCCGAATGTAAACATTATTTAACATTACTTAAATGGAACTGTCAAACCATATTTTCATGTAATTTCATTAGTATATGATTCTTTTAGTTACTTCATTTGTGTATGTTTATGATCTATTATACTGAGTCTGTTCTAATATTTGTGAAATGCTGTAATAATATTTTACAGGGAATAATTCGTTGTAAAATAAATCATTCATATAGGATTTATATAGGAAATAATTAAGATTCTATAATCATTGCCGTATCGACCTAGGTTCTTATCCTGAGTTTTATGAGGTTTATTTTTTTATTTATTTTTGTGGTAACAGTAATATAACCCCACTGCCGCAGAAAATCTATAGACTGAGCGAATTCCATTTTCCTGATTATAATTTCACTGAAATATGTTAGGAAATTACCCTACTTTCTATATTTATTTCTATTTTCCTAGGCTATTTATTTTTCTATTTTTCGGTTTGGAATTATTGTGATAGATTTTTGTTTACAGTGCAAACCATGAAATACATTCTTTTATTATACCTTAAAATCTATCATTGGTTTTGTATCGTAGGTAGCCTAAATAAGTACCTATTCACAGTATGAGTTAACAAAATTGTACTATTATCAAGTTATTTAGTACAGTTAAATTTTGTTTCTAAATTAAATGGTAGGAGTGAAACCATTTTGCATTTCAAAGATCCAACATTGTCTCTTTTGCATACTGACCCCGTTGCAAGGCACAAAACTGCTAGCAAACACGAATAGTAGCGCTGGTTTGCAGTAGCTGTTCAAATGGCGATACTAATTGTGACCAACGGGATTGATTTATTTAGTATCTTATATGAATTAGAGTTAATCATGTACTACCACAAAGTATTCTTTCTACATCAATTGTAATTTCATAATACGCCCACCACAGCAAACCTGCAGCCAAAGCAAATTTCCATTGGTGTGATTTTATTTTCAATTAAATCTAATTCAATAACACTAGGTTTAACGAGTACCTAGGTTTGCTGCCCACAGGGAGGGTAACGAAGTGTGATTATAAGGAAAATATTATTAGCGTAGTATGAACAAATAAATTTGCCAAGTTTGATCGAAATCTATCCATAAACAAGCAATATTACAACAGTTTACTTATCCTACTAATTACAAGTAAGTCAGTTTTGATGTACGGATGAATGGATGAATGTATGGATGGATGGATGGATGGATGTTTGTGATAAGTAAACGTGAAAAATACTAAACCGACAAGGTTGAAATTTGGTATGATGATAGCTGACATTCCCGATTAACATTTAGACAATTCTTACATCAAAAATCCTTTCAGGCTCCGCCCCAGTGGCTCTGGCTCTGGAGTTTCTCATGTAAACCTTATGAGTATTCATATTTAAAGAAATTAAAGAATTTTGTCAGCCGATTCAACTTCACAAGTTGGTTCTATGATATTAAATAGCATTAAAAAGTTATGAGGCTTACCAAGAGGGTGCAGCACTATTATGTTTTTGCATTTAATTCTAATTTGAACAGCTAATTTGAACCAACTAGCAACAGAAAGTTATGGTACACAATGAGAACTTAACTTTTTCCCATGGTTTAGGTGCAGTGGTAGAACATTAGGGCTATGGTAGATGTGTGCTACACTATAGGATACCGTATAAATTAAAAGACCAAATTGTCTTAAACCATGTCCTCTCCCATAACTGCAATAAGCTAATAAGCATTTATACTTACATGCCAACCCCGTACGAAGGACGGGTACTCTGCTAGTCCATTATAAAGAAGAGTTGGTGTCTGTCCGTGTGTCAATGTGTTTGTATGAGCTAAACTAAAAACGACTGAACCTACTAGGCTCAAATTGGATAAAAATAAAGCTACAACTCCGAGGATACATATATAAGTTAGTATTATCGCTTCGATATTGACCTAGGATTCCACCCCGCGGGCTTTCAAAGTTCTGTGGTGAGAGTTTTAAAAGTAAAGATTAATTCGTCTCCATGGTAATAAAGAACGATCCCACAAAGGTTTAAATGTACACAAGCAGAAGTGTCAAACGAATTTTCTGGTTTAAACATATTAAACACTGCACGGAACTATTAGTACGCTTATTCTGCGCGTGACGGGACGAGTGACCGTGATCGCAACATTGGTGGATCTTGCAGTCTGGAAACCACCCTACACACTTTATGGACCAGGTGAGACATAAGAGCTGCTTTAATATGATATCGTTTAGAGCAAAACAGGATGTAGTTGAATTGTTGACTGAAGGTTGTTGGCACTTAATCACTCTAATTTATTAAACATTCCAACCAATTTGAAGGTTTCCGTAGCGATGCCCGTGCTTATGTATATATATATAATATATATTATAATGTAATCTAAATATATAAAAGGCAAAGCCCTTACTGACTCACTCACTCATTCACTCATCACTAATTCTCCCACTTCCCATTTACCTAGAAGGCTGAAATTCGGTACACCGATTCTTAAATAGGAAAACTAAGTATTTTTTATTCTGATCGGGCTTTTGGACTCCGCCCCAGTGGCTCTGGGGTTTCCCATGTTAAAACCTTATGATTTTTCATATTTAAAAGGAATTAATGAATCTTAACAGCTGTTTCAATAAAACAAGTTGGTTCTGTTCTATGATGTTCAATAGCATTAAGGTTACAAGGATTACCAACAGGGTGTAGCACTATTTTTTTTATTTTTTTATTTATGACTAATTTACAACCAAAAGGTGAGCGAGCGTAGCGAACGAACTTCAACCCGGAGGCGAGTTAGCGTAGCGAACGAGCGAACCTGAATTATAATATATATTATACTCTATAATATATATCTATATATATATTAGAGTTAACTTAGAAACCATAAACACTCATGTAAACAACATTATAACTGAAGCAGCTGACTATATAAAGACAGATATATTGAAATCCTACAATTTCCCGCGCATGAAGGATTGCCTAGAAGACATAATCTTAAGTCGAACGGAACGTTTCTTATTCCTGTTGGATGTCCGTGAACTGGTGTGCCTTGATGAATCAGGGTTTGTAGAGGTCAAGTATCTTGTAGATAACGGGGATCGATGGTGTTGACTATCGTAGTGTTTCGATGAGAGATTGAGTCAGCTACATTGTGTGGACTTTAATAATTAGGATTTTCAGTCATAACTATTTCACCTCTAGGTACAGTTCATGATGGTTGTGTAATGACGTTAGCAGGTGGTTGTTGTACCCATGACTTGTAGAGGTGAACCATCTAGTTTGTACACGATCTCCCACGCTTGAACTTCTTACTCTCATATTTCATTGTTATCCTCTTGAGATTCCGTTTTGGTTTGTAGTGGTATTTGTTCTTGAAATGCTCTTGTATTCTTGTAATTTTTCTAGATCAGTGAGTGGTTTCTCGTCAACATGTTTGTATATTAAATATATTAATTTAAAAACATTTAACAAAAATTCCATTTAACACATTTAAACATTTAAAAAATACCGAGACTCAAACTAACGCCGAGTTTTTGGCACACCATGTATCGGGAAAATGTTAAAATATTTTTACATCATTCCTTGGGGTTGATTTAGCGGGAACAAATTTTATTTCATCCTTGTATGTTAAGCCGTTTTCCCATAATCAATTTGAGACATCGTACATGGGACACCCTGTATATGTGGCTGTTCTAATTTATGAAGTGCCGTAATAATATTTTACAGGGAATATGTCATTGTAAAATTATTCATGAATATATTAAATAATGATCATTGCTGGATCTTATCCTGAGTGTTATGAGATTTTTTTATTGTGTAAACAGTAATAAAATACCCCTGCAGCAGCAAATCTGCACACTAAGCAAATTTCCATTTGCCTGATTATAATTTAATTATGTTAGAAAATTACACTATTGATAGGTTTGGAACTATTGTGATAGCATTTCGTTTACATTACAAACCATTCATTCAACGTGTTATTTGATTATGCCTTAAAATATATAACTGATTTGGTATCCTAGGTAGCATAAATAAGTGTTCACATTCTGAGTTAACAAACTGTACTATTATCAAGCTAAGTAATACAATTCCATTTCGTTTCTAAATTAAATGGAAGGTGTGAAACCATTTTTAAGACATTTTCAACAAACCAAACATTGTCTCTTTTGCATACTGACCGTTTGCAAGGTCCGGGTGTAACTGCTAGTTTAAGTCTATAGCATGGATTTTAGATTATTGTGAAGTTAATTTTATAAGAACACACGTTCCACGAATGAAAAGCCAAACAATACGATTTGTAGTAGCAAAAGAGGCTGGTGTGCACGCGCAAAAAAGCAAAGCAACTGTAATATAATATTTCTGACTATAAATCAAAAACATCTGAAACTACCAGCCACGCATACGGATTGTCTTCATAAAAGGTTCAGATTTTTATTACGTCAGGATTCAAACTATACTTGCAGTGTGAAAATAAAGGACATGTTGTAGATAGCCTTGGTTAACAGCCATTCAAATTTGTAGTAGTGATTTAAAATTAAGTTGAGATTTCAAAACAATATAACAATTCAATTACTGGTTTAATCATTATTTATCCTAATTAAGTGAGTAAAACTGTTCATTTTCTCCTTGTTAAAAAAAAAATCCATAAGGACTATTACAAAAAATGTTCGAAATTGTAAAAAAATATTGTAGGCCTATACAATATACTGTTCATAGTTTTACAATAGAATTGAATTGATCAACACACACCTAGTAGCATCCAAATCCATTCAATGATAGAAAAATTGCAGTCCAAGATCAATTAACGGTTATAAGGTCTAATCAAATTACACATTGAGTAGTTTGTACTGTTAACTAAAAGCTAGGCCTACCACAATAGTTCCAAACCTGATTACTATAAATTGTAATCTTATTACTGTCTTCGCAAAAATATATTTAAAAAATAATTCTCATAAGCGTAGTTAAAAATCAACACAGCAATGGTTATAGAATTTTAAATTATTTCTTATATCCAGAAATAATGTCTTTTACAATTCTCTGTAAAATATGATTGCAGGGCAGTTCACAAGTATTATAACAGACTCAATATAGATCATAAACATAAACATATTATGTAACTGAAAGAATCCTATACTAATGACATCAATATATAGTTTGACAGTTCCATTAAAGTAATGTTAAATAATGTTTATATTCGGATGAGTGACATAATTTTTATGTTTACGATGTCCTTTCTATTTTAATATTCGTTCAGTATTTAATATGTTTGAACCAGCTGTGTAGAAATGTGAAATCAAAATTTATCAGTTCTGCTTGTTTCACTTTGTGGGTTTGTTCTTTGTGATCATGGAGACCAATCAATATTTACTTTTAAAACTCTCACCTCATGGCTTTGCAAGCCCGTGGGGCAGAGTCCTAGGTCAACATAAAGCGCGGATAGTTCAATATGTATTCTCGGAGCTGTAGCTTTATTTTTGTCCAATCTGAGCCTAGTCGGTTCAATAGTTTTTTAGTCTAGCCCATACGAACACACAGACACGCAGACAGACGCTACCTCTTCTTTATAATAATAGTATATAGATGGATGGATAGATAGATAAAATTATTTCAAATATATTTCTACTCATTGTATTTAGAAGCTTTTTTCTAATCTCTGGAGCGTTTGATTATGTTTTTATAATTTATGTATATGTTAGTTTTACTCCAATTTAAATTTGTTTGATAAAAATTTATGCAAGATTCTAGTTTTTTTCTGTTGCAACATGAATTTGGCCCCAGGAACTTTTTCCAGTCAACATCTTCACAAAAAAAGACTTCTACTCTACAGCCAAGCTATGGAACCTGTGCACGAGTCTTCAGGGAAACCTTTGAAATACAGTGTTTTAACTAAAACCAATTGACATAGTTGCGGTGCGAGGTTACCTAAGAGTATGTCGGTATAAACGACTTTTCCAGCTGCCATGTTTATTAAAACAGGCTAGAAGCAGCCAGTAAAACTCCCTCTCTTTAACTCGTCTCCCCCTAATAACAAAATAAAAAACTGTGGCAAATAATTCATTAACATCATATTTATGCCAAAAACTTATCAAAGAATGTACTGCCTTTCAAGGGTATCCCTAACATTTAACATATCCCTACGAATAGAATTTAAAACAATTTAATTCCATACTGACCTGTGTACGTATTTCGTCTTCCCAAACCTGGAAAAATAAGAAAAAATTACAAATTAATAAAATACATTATTAATCTCACCGCATCTAGTGCCGTAAGCAATAAAAAAAGCAAACATTTCATGCTTAGTTGTAAAAGATAAAAATAATTTAATACTGTTTTTTCAACCCGAGGGGCATTTTTCATTTTTGCAAGGGAACGGACCAAACCCTGGACTTGTTACTGTCTAACGCCGACCTTTTTTAGACAGTATCTTCAGTTGTAGGATTAATGACAAATGGCATTTGGTTCTAAAGTTGATGCAGCTTGAAATCAAACCTGTAACCTTCAGATTAGATGCCAACAATATAAAATAGAGCTTTGCATATATAGAGACCATATTTCCTCATTCTCATTAAATATAACAATTTGAACGGATAGTGTTATTAGCCTCTGGGGATGTCAAAATTAAAAAGAAATCTGTCTCGGGGCTAGGTCTTACCATTCCACTTAAGTTAGTAGCTACTTCCCCTATAGGGAAATTCGCTAAAATAATAAAAAATGAAATAATAAAAATATATAACAAAGGTTGCTTTGATTATTATTACAACTGGCTTGAGAATTCAGCTGAATCACTTCAATAATATTCAAGCTGTCTTCACAACTCGAGCAAACTAGGCGAATTTGACATGAAAATGCCATAAAAGGTCGTCCAAAGCTAAAAATTCAGAAAAGTTTTGTCAATGATAGGCGTAACACTTATTATTGACTCTCACGAGCGGCCTTGAACATCAACCGCACAACTGAATCCTCATACTACGATTTTGGTGCTGGGGTAATCAGGACTCATAACGTCGTTCATAATTTATGAAAAAGCCCAAAGCCCGTACCACTAGGGTTTTGAAGTAGGTACAGAGCAGCTAGACAGACATACAGTGTTCCAAGTAGTCAGCGCTGTACTAGCACAATATTCCACGATTTTACCTGAATACGAATGCGAGCTCGGTAACCACTTAGAAATTGACAATTTTCGCATAGCTCACCAACGCACGATTTTCATAACATAACCGGTATGGATTATAATCATAGACAAATATGACGTAAGTGGCCCGAATGTCTGTAATGCTAATATCCGTAACAGCTGGTTTGTACATTTGTAACTGTTCCATTAATTTACATATTAACTAGTGGCTTGTAGGGGCAATGGCCCCTATATATTAGTAATTATTAGTCTCGTGGGTTACCCCACCTTGAATTATCGTTTAACACTTTTGAATATTATAATATGTATAATAGTTATTACACACCGTTACCCGGTACTTCTTTTGTTGTAGCCGAAATAGATGCAAATGCCATAAATTATATGATACATAATATACATTGCGCTGTTGTACTGTCTTATTTTTCATAAAATGGGCATTATTAAATGCGTCTTGCAGCTCGTTGTTATTTTGAGGCTGTGGTAGGTGTGTTAGGCCATTGTGTCAGCAAGAGTTGAAGTGTCAACTTGTCGATTCATCAATGAAGTGCAATGCACAACAATGATGCACTCATTGGTCCTATGCTGTGTAATGTAATCTTATTTAAAGGTGGTAATCTATACACAGGAATAACTTCATGTTTATCCGGATGCTTGCCAAATCTGGCGCCTGTTGTTCTCATTTCGAGGAACAATACCTCTGCGTGGCAGCCTACCTCTGCATGGTGGTCTTCCGACATTATATACATTATTACTGTGTAAAAGAACAATCCATTGTAAAGTGTCACATTAATTGTTCAAAAGATTTGATCTAATTTTCACTTTGGGTTGTTTACTACTTCACTAACATTTTTAGAAATAACATTAAATATTACAGTACACATTACTATATGATTTAAATAAAGTTAAACCACATGTTTCAAAGTAAAAAAAACAGACATGACCTAGATTCCCATGCTATTTAAATGTGAATTATTTTATTCCGTAACAACCTTTTGGTGCATGATTAAGAAAAATAAATAATTTTCCCCAAAGTTTCATGCCCAGACCTTTAAAATGAGACCTCTTCCAGCTTTTTACAGCCTCCCGTTTGCTCACAATTTCATTGTAAAAGTGTGGGCTTACAGAATTAGATATATATATATAATATCTTTACTTTAGAGTCGGTGACGTCATTTTTTTGTTTATGTACCATACCATTCCTGTTCTAATACTCGTGGCTGTACGGAAATAAACTAACTATTTTCTATCTAACTATTAACTATTTTCTAATTATTTTAAATGTAGTGATGAAAAGGTATTTCTGAATTTTGTCAGGATCAAACCGGAGACCATCACATTTTCCTAATATTATTAATCTTGTAAACTAAACATTCACATGAAAATGTACTGTGTAAGATTATAAATACTAGTGTGCCTGTTGCTCGAAATCGAGCGATTAACAAGTACTGGCATTACACAATTTTTTTCAAAACCAATAACAGCCATAATTTTCGATGACTTTAAAATACCAAACTAAAAGCTGTAACTAATGGGAATACTCACTCTGTTAATGACACTTTGATTTAATAAACACTTCTTGAAAATAGTTTATAATTTTTCAGAAGCTGACTTTGGTTTTGGGGTTTTCAACTAATGATTGCCCGACTTACCTATAGCCGCATAAAGTTGCATAATGTATACAGGGTGAGTAGAACCATTGCGCGTGTTAACTTCGCCAGTAGGTTCTACTCACTAAAAGGAACAAAAAGTTCCTATGTCCGAGTTTAACTTATAGACAACTGAAAAAGGCAATTAATTTCAAAAAGTATTTTTCCTTATTTGTGACTTTTGTTATCAATTCTGTTTATGGATCATTTAATGTAAAAAAAATATATTTTATGTTAAGTTCATTATTTTATTTTCAGTCTTTTGTCAAGGAGTTACTTTCTGTTATTTATTTACAAACATAAATTAATGTGTCAACCAAACAGACGGTTTAGTAACCATTGTATTTGTGTGCACATAAAGTATGTATCATTGTGTAATGTTCCAAATTGTACAATAAAGCATATTTCTTTTAATTAATTCATTTCATTTAATTTCATTTCATCGAAAAGAATATTAAATTTGCTATGAATCAAAGGTTTTATGCAACAATTGTACCGTTGTTTAGTCCGGTTTGAATAAAAAATAATCATTAATTTATTAAATGGCCAAGTTTTTTATGCATTTCAACATTTTATAGAATAGGTTTATGCATCAAAGTGGGGTCATAAAATTTAACGTAATTAATTAATTTAATGTAATTTTTACTTTATTTTTATCTAAACCGGACTAAACAATGGTATAATTGTTGCATGAAACCTTTGATTCATAGAAAATTTAATATTCTTTACAATGGTTTTAACTATAAATCTCTAAGGTAATTGGTTATGTTTTTATTAGATAAATTGTGGGGCAAAGTCTAATATAACAGGAAAAACACAAAACCACCTATTTCAGCCAAACGGTTGAAAATTAGACATGGGTTTATAGGAACTTTTTTGTTCCTTTTAGTGAGTGGAACCCACTGGCGAAGTTAACACGCTCAGTAGAAACTCACCCTGTATATTCGCCACTGATAAAGTAGCCTACATGATACCACCATTGTTGCCAGTATAATTACAAATTTCAGTTATATATATTTTTTATAGCAATACAAAATTAATAGCGATGAAGAAAAACATCTTTTTAAAGCTAAAAATAATGTTAAAATTTTAATTTAAACCAAATTAGTAAATGGTTATAGCTTGTTTTCCTTAAATTACAGCTTCAATGTTAACAGCAGTTATTATTAAATTGTCCAGCTGAACCAGCTTTTTTGTTTGTAAACAAAAAATTATGACGTGGGAGCTTTAAAACCCACTGAGGCAGGCCCAGGGAACTTTTATAACATGTCCGACCTTATCTGACATCAACTCAATGAGACTTATCAACCTTAAACCAACAAAATCGGTTGAGAAACCACGGAAGAGTTCTGCTGACAAAAAACGTGCTTGCATTTTTAAAATATATTATAATAATTCCACTCACCATCCAATGATCGTTTCCATTAGCATAATCCTGAAAAAACATTATATGGGCTAAAATATTTTGTAATAAATTAATAGTATTAAATTTCTATTACTAATATCTAAATATTTTGATACATTTATTCCTTACATTTGGCTGTAAATATAAGCTATGTCTATACAAAAAGACTTATCACACTAGGATATTTACGAGGATAGGAAGTAGTGTAACTCCAGAGTGTTTGTGTTTAATGAACACAAAGATATTGCTTGCAAAAAGTAACTTTTTCATACTATTTATTTTACATTTATCTATCTGTGTCCAAAAGCACGATAACTATTTGGATTGAATACCCCGTCACAGCAATCCTGCAGACTAGGCAAATTTAAATTTATCTGATTGGATTTTCACATAAAGTATTTTCATATACAAGTAATATTTGATATCAGAACAAAGTAAGTTAGCATTACCATCAACGCCATCAATATTATCTATATATCTATATATATTATATATATATCTATATTATCTATATATCTATACCAATGCCATTGAATGATTTGAACAATGATTTTTTATCAGCTTCATCACAGCCAAACGGTACAACAGTTCAGAACTAACTGAGTTTAAATCTCAATGAGATTAGGTATTTTCCCCAGAAAAGTGGAAGTCTGCGGTTGCCAGCCTCGTGAATAAAATCTCATTCCCATCGCTTCCACAAGATTACAGACCAAACTTTGGCAGGGACCCGGTTGACGCTAAAGGATTAGGCGACCCTCAACACTACACAAACCCTCACACACACACATACACAAAGATATCACTTCGAAAACACCATTTTTGGGTTCATGGAGACCCAAAACTGATATTTCCAACCGAAACTAGTATTTAAATATTTTGACGTAAACAGTATTTTGTACTACACTACCTACCTAATACTTTGTATAGGGAGAAAAAGTAAAATATGTAATTGTAAAACTTCAATAGTTTTCTTATGGAGAATAAGCAAACCGATGCAGTGTGTTTGTTTATGGATATATTTTGATCAGATTTAGCCATTTTTTCCATTTCATAAAAGTATAGTTTGCGCACAATGATTTAAAAAACGGCTCCTATGATTTCCTCCAAATTGTTAGATATATCTTAGTTTTAGGCTAAAAACAATATCCATGCCAAGCTCTGTTCTGGGAAAATTCTTTTTTCATTAAAAGCTTAAAATAAAATTTTAATATATTTTATATTAGTCGTATGGACTGTCAAGTACCTATGACAGTTTTACGAAAATGTAAACAAATGGATTGTAAAATATATTTGTAACAAGTCATCCAAAGTAAAGTAGAAAATTACAAAATACAGTACAAAGAAAAAGGCTATTTCTATGAATTCTAGAGCATTGATACATTAGGATTGTATGATGTATTACCAACCAAAGGGATAATTACGACTGTTCAAAAACGTTAGGTGTTTTACGACAAAACATTATACACTGATATTGAACTAAAAGTCTAATGAAAGGCCAAGGACGTTTTATAGTTTTCGACGATTTGCCACCAGAATCGATATGCGTTATTCCACGATCCCGTAATTGTAGTTCATCTTGTAGTTGCGGCGTTCCGCGATCCCAGTGACTAACGCAATAACGCGCGGTCAACAGATGATGTTATGTATCATGAGTTTTTATATTGCAGTTTATTAAAGAAATATTATAGATTGCTCGTCCACATAAACAAGTTTGTTAGGTAAATAAAGAATGAACGGATGTCTACCGAAAACGAGTTGACTTTACAACAAAATTAATCGTAGCATAACTGAAAATATTTGTACGCTTATATGTTCTATTTTTTACCTCTTGAACAAATCAAACACCTCGAGAATTGCTCGGTCCCCTGGTACTTTATAGTATAAAACATCCTTAATTACCTACCCTATAGCACTAAACCTAGGTACTCATAAAACCTAATTGAATTTTAAGAGATTTTTTAGGGAATGTTTTAGTGAAAACCAAATTAGGCATTTGGAAATTTACTTCGTCTGCAGGTTTTGCTGTGGTGAGGGTATTGCCTTTTAATGAGCTATCAAAGCTACTGCATATGCCCGTATTTGAAACTCCCTCAACGTTCTGATCCAACCCAACAGTCACGTGTAAAATTTAAATCATTTACTTTTATGAGAATTGTTTGGAACAATATTTAGATATGAAAAAATATATGTAAAATTTAAAGAGATAAAGCATTATTATACAATCTATAATTTAATATACAGTACTAAGATAAAAAATTTGTAAGGCCGCCATTAAAAATTAACATAATTTGATTATTGATGTTTATCTAGTGTTGTATTCAGGTAATATATTTTAGAATCTTCTTTTAGAAGTCTTCCAATAACTACTACTTAAAAAGTAAAAAGATATTTTAATTTTTAAATCAAATGAAGGATTTAAGACAAAAGAAAAGTAATTTAAAAGTTTTGCTGTGAAGAATACGAGACTTGAAGTAGACTCTGTTTGTTAGATCAATTGCTGGACAGTAACAGGGAGTCGAAACACAGACTCTGTTTGTTAGATCAATGGCTGGACTGTAACAGGGAGTCGAAACACAGACTATGTTTGTTATATCAATGGCTGGACTGTAACAGGGTGTCGAAACACAGACTCTGTTTGTTAGATCAATGGCTGGACTGCAACAGGGTGTCGAAACACAGACTCTGTTTGTTAGATAAACGGCTGGACTGGAACAGGGAGTCGAAACACAGACTCTGTTTGTTAGATCAATGGCTGGACTGTAACAGGGAGTCGAAACACAGACTATGTTTGTTATATCAATGGCTGGACTGTAACAGGGTGTCGAAACACAGACTATGTTTGTTATATCAATGGCTGGACTGTAACAGGGTGTCGAAACACAGACTCTGTTTGTTAGATCAACGGCTGGACTGTAACAGGGTGTCGAAACACAGACTCTGTTTGTTAGATCAATGGCTGGACTGTAACAGGGAGTCGAAACACAGACTCTGTTTGTTAGATCAATGGCTGGACTGTAACAGGGTGTCGAAACACAGACTATGTTTGTTATATCAATGGCTGGACTGTAACAGGGTGTCGAAACACAGACTCTGTTTGTTAGATCAACGGCTGGACTGGAACAGGGAGTCGAAACACAGACTCTGTTTGTTAGATCAATGGCTGGACTGTAACAGGGTGTCGAAACACAGACTATGTTTGTTATATCAATGGCTGGACTGTAACAGGGTGTCGAAACACAGACTCTGTTTGTTAGATCAACGGCTGGACTGGAACAGGGAGTCGAAACACAGACTCTGTTTGTTAGATCAATGGCTGGACTGTAACAGGGAGTCGAAACACAGACTATGTTTGTTATATCAATGGCTGGACTGTAACAGGGTGTCGAAACACAGACTCTGTTTGTTAGATCAATGGCTGGACTGTAACAGGGAGTCGAAACACAGACTCTGTTTGTTAGATCAATTGCTGGACTGAACGGGGAGTCGAAACACAGACTCTGTTTGTTAGATCAACGGCTGGACTGAACGGGGAGTCGAAACACAGATTCTGTTAGATCAATGGCTGGACTGTAACAGGGAGTCGAAACACAGACTCTGTTAGATCAACGGCTGGACTGAACGGGGAGTCGAAACACAGACTCTGTTTGTTAGATCAATGGCTGGACTGAACGGGGAGTCGAAACACAGACTCTGTTTGTTAGATCAACGGCTGGACTGAACGGGGAGTCGAAACACAGATTCTGTTAGATCAATGGCTGGACTGTAATAGGGAGTCGAAACACAGACTCTGTTTGTTAGATCAACGGCTGGACTGAACGGGGAGTCGAAACACAGACTCTGTTTGTTAGATCAATGGCTGGACTGAACGGGGAGTCGAAACACAGACTCTGTTTGTTAGATCAACGGCTGGACTGAACGGGGAGTCGAAACACAGATTCTGTTAGATCAATGGCTGGACTGTAACAGGGAGTCGAAACACAGACTCTGTTTGTTAGATCAACGGCTGGACTGAACGGGGAGTCGAAACACAGACTCTGTTTGTTAGATCAACGGCTGGACTGAACGGGGAGTCGAAACACAGACTCTGTTTGTTAGATCAATGGCTGGACTGAACGGGGAGTCGAAACACATTTTTGGATATGCTAAAATTACATTAAATGTGTAACGGTTGTAAATTTTTCTAAGTTGATATTTACAACCGTAGCAAGCAAAAGGTATTAGCGGCGCGGACAAATAAGCGGGTTCGGGGACAAAGGTCAATCCCGATAACAGCCACTAGCCTGCGTCGTCGGCCGCTGGGAGACCGCTGAACACGTAAGTAGTTCCTGTAATCTCCGTTAGAGCATGCTTATAGTTCTATGGTTAGAGCTCGCGATTCTGTGGCGAATAAAACCAGAACCGCTAGCCGTTCTAGTCCAGGACAGTCAGTTCAGTTCAGTTTAAATCAGTTGAAAGCAGTTGACCCTTATGAAAAAGTTTATATATGGCCATATAAATTTTTTTTTATCTGGTTATATTAGGTTTTGGACCAAATATAACCAGATATGATCATATATGGAATCCCCCATATATGGACATTTTTTAATAAAAAATATATAAATAAATAAAAAAATTACAATTAACCATATTTTCACATTAAATCTTATAAACTATGCATTAAAACCATAATAAAAATTTTTAATTTGAAAATTTCAAAACAAAATTTTCAAGTAGCCGACTGGGATTCGAACCCGGGACTCCAGCGTGGGAGTCTACCCCTTTGACCACTACACCACAACCGCTTCATATCAGATGTCTTTACAAAACCCATTACGAATAAGAGAAGCTGTATTTGGTCTCGTAAAACAAGATTTTCTTAGACATTTTATGTCATTTGAAGAATTTTATTATTAATATAGCCTAACTACGTGACATAGATATTTGCAGCTGTTTGATAGCAAAGGTACAATAAATTAATTATTAATATAATATTCTCTTTATTTAGGCCTACTACACTTACAATTTTAAAATTATACGTCAGTTTTAAGATTTTGTTGCGTTATAGTAAAATTGTACAATAGATGTATGTACAGGATTTTGTCATCTGGGTTCAAATCTGGATACTTTATTACTTTACTACTAATTACTTTAAATGAGAAATGCCTATATTATCTGCCCCCCACTGTACCACATTTCAACTCAATCAGTTCAGTAGTTTGTGCTTCCGAGAGCAACAAGAAAATACACAAACTCACAAACTTTAAGATTTATAGTATTATATATATTATAAGAAGTGTTTGGGAGTCCAGTTACAAAATCCAAATGTGGCAACTATTCCTTATAATAATTCCAGTTATTGTCAAAAACTCATTTATACATGAGCATAAATGGAAAATTATTATTCCGTATATGAGTAATTTAATTCCATCATATATGGCCATATAAAGACCATGATTCCATATATGGAGGATATTTATGGCCATATATGGGCAATAATTTCATATATAGAACACATGTATGGCCATATATGGACAATCATTTCATATATAGAAAACATGTATGGCCATATATGGCCAATAATTCCATATATAGACTACATATATGACCATATATGGACACCACCATATATGGATACAACCACATCTGGCCATATCTGCTTCCATATATGTCCATAAAAAACCATATATGGCTTTATGAAACCATATATGGAATTTTGATATGGCCATATATGGCCAGAAATTACTTTTTTATAGGGGGAAGACCAACCAACAGTCTAAACATCAACCTAACCTGTTAGAATTAGCAAATTGAAACTCGGGTTCACTTTCCCTGGTGTTGGCGTATTTTAAATTCTCCAGTCAAGAAAGTTTTGTCAGACTGTTTGTGAATTAAAGGAAGACTTGCAGATTTTAGCTATTGAGGCATTTTATTTGGAAAGACCGGCGAATGAGCCTGGCATTAACGATTGGTATTTCGAGTTTAAAGTTATGTTATTTGAAAAGACTGGCGAATCGGCTTTGCATTAAAGTTTGATATTCAGAGGTTAGAATTTTTTTGTAGAAGAAAGACCGGCGAATGAGTCTGGCATTAACGTTCGATATTTAGTTTAGAGTTTGCAATAGTTTTATATTTAGATATTGGTATTGGTTATTGTATAAAGACCGGCGAATTAGCCTGGCATTTAAAGTTTGATGTTAGTCGCCGTTAGTCGATTATTTTATTTTAGAAAGACCGGCGAGTTAGCCTGGCCAGTAGGGAATTGTTTTAGTTTATTGAATTATTTTTAATTTAGAAAGACCGGCGAGTTAGCCTGGCAAGTAGGGAAATATTTTATTTTAAAAAAATTGTTGTGGTTAGAAAGACCGGCGAGTTAGCCTGGCAGTTAGGGTGATATTGTAGCATACTGAATTGGTTAATTTGATAAAGACCGGCGAATTAGCCTGGCACTAGTCACGCGAGAACAATACAGCGTTGGCAATTGTTTTAAAAGTGATCATTAAAGCGAAGTTGAGTGGGCTGACATCGTTGACCCCTCGTGGTGAGGTGTCACTCTGAGCTTTAGCAGACAATAGATAGGGATAGTTCGAAATTGAATAGCGGAAGGACCTTGGAGTTTCCCAGCTCAACTGGAGTGATTCCGAGCATGTTATTTGTAAGGCGATACGGTGAGGAGCGTGGTACGGGAGAGCCTCAGATAGAAAGGCCGCGACCCCGGGCGCACCGTAGCACCTTACAAATGTAGGACATCAAGTAAAATATATGATTGTGATCTTGCTGTTAGGTTAACAATTGAAAGTAGCCTTAAAATACTGATAAACAACCAACTATGGGGGAGAAAAATCTAGAATAAAGATACAAAAAAAAAAAAAAATAGCAAAGCTTTATCTTGTCAAAAATCAATGTGCACTAGTTTTAGATGAATCTGGTTACGGAACGTTAAAATTAAAACTACAGCTGTATACCCCACCTAAATATTACTATGGTATTTATTTTGTCTGACAACATTTTTAAAATGACAAGTATATAATGTTGTTTTAAAATATAGTTGTATGAAGTAGGTCTAATTAGTACATAAAAGTACAATAAGTTATGTACATAATAAAGTACGTCGTGTGCAACTATGTATAGTGACAATTCAATGATCAGACTCACTTGCCAATTTTCAGGATCGTTGGCCCTTATTAGTCTCTGAAAAATAAAAATAAAATAATTTAGGATAATATTATTGGTTTTTCATTACGGTACTTATAAAAACTCAAAATGACAGATTAACCCTCAATATAGTGTATGTATATTTATAGTTATTTTCATTTTGCTGTAAGATTTATATATCTACATATACAAGTCAAATTCCTCACATACGGTCGCAAACAGCTTGAAGTCTGTAATTCGGTATACTCTTTATTCAAGTTAAAAATAAGACAGTTAAATAATAGTGTATCTCCATAATGACTACACATTTTCAAACTAACTGATACCAGGTTTCTAACAACTTACGTCAGGTATGGCAATTTTTGTGAACTGTAAAAAAGAAAAAAACATATTATAAAAAATATGTAATGTTATTACTTTATTTCTAGTGAAAATGACAATCTATCATGATAATGTAGTAGTTGTGTGGGTTTTTAGATTATGAACCACATAGTAAATGATAAGTGGTTTTTTTATGGCGGATTGGTCAATCTTAATAGTAGGAGCGAATCTGGAATTGGAGTTAGCTTTTTAAAGGGAGATATTTTTCTGTTGATTCAAGATTTTAAAAGATTTGATAAAAAAAAGTATACAAGTGATTTAAAACCTTCTTACGACTAAAATTTTGGTGGCTGGATGAAGAACTATGCTGTATAAATTTGTATACTTCATATCTTAACACACATTGGTAAATTATAATGTCAAAAATTATTCACATTATCAATATAAAAACAAATAAAAGAATTTTTAAGAAGTCCTTAAAGTTAGCATATTGTTTTATAAGTAAAGAATTGCCTAAGAACTTCAAAATGTTCTACTGAAAAATTGTATGTAGAAGTTTGTTAATAAGATGGAAACTTAGCCTATAACTGCAACTTTTTCAAAATCAAAAAAGAATTCCCTTTATTGTGTTTGCCATATTTGGTTTTGTCTTTACATTTCGACTCATGCCTACTTCCAAACCATATCAAGCATAGTTTTAGGGACATGAGACAATTGCAAGATTAAGATGCATAAAGTCTGCTCGAAACACAGAATAAGATAGGGAGTTTTTTACGCAGCCCAAATTGCACGGAAGAGATTCACTGTCCTGAGACAAAACCATTCACCCAAAAAAGTCAACTTTCAGTTATTTACCAAGAAGTATTCTACAACTCTTTCTGAACCTTTTGATGTATGACACATATAAACATATTTTTTATGCGGTGTTATTTTACAAAATATCACCCCATTACAGAATCTACAGAATTCCCATTTTCAATGATCCTCTTCTACCCACCTAGGGGGTTGGCCAAATTGGTTAAATTTTGTATTAAAAACTTTGGTTTTTATGAACTTTCAAATGATAATAATAAAAAATTTAATATGTCATATTTTTTTAAATTTTGGTGGAGTTCCCCCTTAAGTTTTGTAATATACAGGGTGTCCCACGAATAGGGTTTAAAGTTTGATTTTTATATTACTTGCCCATTTATTGACTGAACATTTTGAAACTTTACACAATTTATTAAGTAAGTTTTTAAATAATCTGACCAAATTTCAGCTCTGCAACCCTTGTAGAAACAAAATGGTGGCAGATTAAACATGTACTGATTTGTTTCCAATAAAAAATCACTTTCTTGAGATATTCATCTGATTTTTTTACCACGTTGCATAAGATACAGACATTACAATGACCGAGAATAGATATGCACAAGTTTTAAACGAACATGTCTTGCCTCATTTTAAGGTTACAGAAATTGGATCAAGCAATCTTCCAAAAAGATGGTGCTCCACCTCTTATCACAAATCACGCCAAGCAATATTACTAAATACTGATTATAAGTTAAAAGTCATAGTTTGGTATTAACTATCTTTATAAAACCAAAAGTAAATATTTACAAAAACAACATAAACAAATGAATACTAAACATATGTTATTTGTCATCTTCCCCTTGAGCTTGGAGTCCTAATCTTTTTTTTATAAATCTATTATTCTTGAACCCATACTTCCTGCCCTTCAGTAAAGCTATCTTCACGGTTTAAAGACTTTCTATCATAATGTGACTTTTGTGCTTTCTGAGTTTCTATCATTTTTTCATAGATGCTGTCCTCAACAAGTTTGGGTTTTAATAGTTCTTCTCTCATTGGAATTTTACTTCTTAAGTGTCTGCTGTTAAGAAGCTGAGCTGGAGAAACTTCAAGGTTAGATATTGGGCTGTTTCTGTAGTTTAATAAGTATAACTGCAGATCTTGTTTTGTTTCTTGACATTTTTTTAACATTTCTTTCACTATTCCGACAGATTTTTCCACTAATCCATTTGATTGGGGATAGTATGGACTTGTTGTTATGATTGTTACATTCCATTCCTGAGAAAACTGCTTAAACTCGATACTGTTGAAAGGCATATTATCAGCAATCAGTGTTCTAGGTATCCCAAATCTAGAAAATACTTCTTTAAGCTTAGAAATAATAACTGAACTACTTTTTGAACTTATCTTCAGAGCCTCAATCCACCGAGAGTAATAGTCCACAATTACTAGATAATAACTTCGTTGAAATTCTGCAATATCAACTGCAATTTTGCTGAATGGAATGTTTGGAATATCATGATTCATCATTGGACTTCTGGTTTTTGATTTCCCAAATTTTTGACAAATTTTACATGTTGACACTACATTTATTACATCAGAAGTCATACCTGGCCAGTAAAACAATTGTTTCATTTTTTTGTTGATTTTAGAGGATCCTAAATGAGTTTCATGTAGAGTATCTAATACAAACTTTCGCAAACTTTTGGGTACAACTAATCTTTCGCCATAATAAATTAAATCATCTTTAACCTGCAGGTCTTGTCTAATAAAAAAAAATGTTTTATCTCACCCTCAAGTACTTTTGGATCCGGCCAACAGTTATGTAGATACTCACTTACCGAGGTCAAAATATTATCTGACTTAGTTTTGGATTGAAAAAGTTTTAGTCTAGGTTCGTCTTCAGTTATTTCGTGAACTTCCACAGTGTGAACGAAATCATCCATTAGAACATCTTTGGGTTCGTTAGTTTTTATTCCACATCTTGACATGAAGTCGGCAATGTACATATATCTTCCTGGTAAGTATTTTACTTTCAGCTGGTAATCAATTAGTTTTAGTTTCAATCTCTTTAGTCTGTTATTTACAATTTTCCCAAGTGGTTTTACTGCTATTGACACAAGTGGTAAGTGATCTGTAAAAACTACTACATCCTGAAGACCATATATATAAGTGTGCAGTTTTTTTACAGCAAAACAAATTGCCAGTTGTTCTTTCTCTATCTGTGCATAGTCTTGCTCAGTATTGTTCATTGATCTGGACCCAAAATGTACAGGCTTACCATTCTGAAGCATACAAAAGCCAATAGCATCCTTTGATGCATCACATTGGATTTCCACAGGTATATCTGGATCAAAAGGTGCGAGAACCTGAGAACTACAGATAATTGTTTTTAAATCTTCAAGTACTTTTGAATGACTCTGAGTCCAATTCCAAACTACATTCTTTTTTAGAAGTTCTCTTAATGGAGCAGTTAATTCAGACACATTTGGAATGAAACTTCTTAAATAATTTATCATTCCGAGCATTCTCTGCAGTTCAGTTTTGTTAGTTGGATTGACTAATTTTTTGATTGAATCTATTTTGTCAGGATCAGGTGACATCCCTTCTTTTGAAAATTTTACCCCTAAGTATTTTACTTCACTTTTACAGTACTGAAACTTGCTTAAGTTAAATTTGATATTGTACTTTCGAGCCCGCTCAAACACTTGTTCAAGAATTTCATCATTTTCTTCTTTAGATCTGCTTGCTATGCAAAGATCGTCGAAATAAACTGACACCCCTGGTATATCACCAAAGTATTTACTTACAAGCCTTTGAAACATTTCAGGCATACAAGACAGACCAAAAGGAGCTCTCAGAAATTTATATGTTCCAAATACAGTTGCAAAAGAACAAAGGTTACTTGATTCCTCGTCTAAGCGTACATGATAAAACCCATCCTTTAAATCTAAGATGGAGAAATGAGTTTTGTTGTTTAGCATAGGAGAAATTTCATTCAAAGTTTGGAATTGTGAACTTCTCTTGCACAATATTTTTATTTAACTCTATTGGATCAATGCAAATTCTTAAGGACCCATTGGGCTTTTCCACCACAACAACATTACTTACCCAATTTACTGGTTCTTCAACAGGTTGTATGATGCCTCTTTTCACAAGAGAGTCCAATGTCTCTTTAAACTTATCTTTAATTTTTAGAGGTAGCCTCCTTGCAGTACTAATTGTGGGTTGTGCACCCTCTTTTATTTTGATTTTACATTTATCCGGGAAACAGCCTAATCCTTCAAAAACATCTTTATTTTCCTCAAAGATTTTTAACTTCTCTTTCTCTAGGTCAGTATTACCACCATTTTCATTTCTGACACTGTCAATTCGTTTTAGTAGGTTAAATTTAATACATGTTTCAAGTCCTAAAATAGGTACTGTGTTTTCATTTTTTACAATTAAAAAACTAACTACATCAATCTTTTGATCGGTTTCAATTTGAACATCGATTATACCACAAGGCTTAATGGAAACCCCCCCAAATGACTGCAATGTGGTGTTACAAGGCTTCAATTTACTAGGCAAGTTTAGATTTCTTAAATAGCGAAATGGCAATACATTGACATCTGCCCCACTGTCAAGTTTGAATTTTATTTCTTTGCCTTCTACCAGAAGAGTCTTATACCAAGCATTTTTATTTTTTATGCTATCAACCACACAAAGGCTATTAATGTCTGATTTATGATTGTCTTCAACTGACATGCTGTTATCACAAACATTTTGCAAATTATTACATTGTTTTGAACCAAGGATGTATAATATAATATTTCGACAAACACTAGCAAAGTGGTTTGGCTTACCACATTTTTTACAGATTCTTCCTATTGCAGGACACATTCCATGATGGATACCACCACATCTATAACAATTATTAGTTTTGCCTACCTGTCTGTTGTAACCTCCTTGTGACGTGTTATACCCCTGCTGCTGCTGCTGATTAAAACGTCGTATTGCACTCATGCCCTGTCCATCTGTAAATTTAGAATTCACGACCGTGTCAACTTCAAAATTGTTTTGATCTGTTTTACCTTTATTATTGACAAGTCGCACATTTTTCTCTGCAAGTTCAGATGCTTTACAGAAGTTGATTACTCTATCAAAACTTGTATCTTCTCTTAGTAGTTTTTCCTGCAACTCTTTATTATTCACTCCTAGAATTATAAGTGCTCTCAATATTTTTTCTTCCTGTTCTTCAAACTTGCAACATCTTATTA